TCAGCGGTGCTGTGAAGCTTGGGAGACAGTGATTTGATGAATGTAACTTAATACACCACAAAGGTCATCATTCTTATTGAAATTCAGTTGTTTTTCTTGAGTAAAGAGTATTCAGATTGTTAAGCCTTTAGTTGAAGTAGAGGATATTTGCTATACATACCTCTGGCAAAAGACCTGTATCTGAAATGTATGAGGAAATCTTATGAGAATAAAGACAACCTAGCTAGCTATATATTCCCAAAGTCCTGTTGGTACATAAGCTAGTCATTACTCATAGTCAAGAGGAAAATGCAAATTAAAACAATAGCAAGATACTGTAATCCAAATGGCTAAAATGAAAATAAATACATAAATGAAGATATTACCATGGTTTGGAAAGTATGTGGATCAACTGAAACTCTCATACAGTTTTAATAGAAATGCAAAATGGCACAATCACTTTGGAAGATATTTTGACCTTGTATAGTTAAATGTAATTCCCATCTTTCCGTGTAACTCATTTATTGGGCTCATAGGTGTTTACACATAAGAAATGAAAACATGTCCTCAAAAAGTTTATGCATAAATATTTTCAGCAGCTTTATTTTCAGTTATGAAAAACTAGAAAATACACAAATGTCATAAATAGATGAATGATAGTTAAATATGCTGTGGTATATTTACACAAAGAAGTAGTACTTAGGAACAAAAACAATGTATTACTGATATATGTGGCATTATGCATGAATTTTTAAAATGCTGTACATTGGGTAAACACCAAAGAGTTTATTCTGTATGATTCCATTTTCATGAAACTCTACAAAAGTATAGTGAATACATTAGCCTATTTTCTGTTGCTAAGAATATGGTAAAATAGACTCAGAGAGTTATAAAGAAAAGTTTATTTTGCCTCATGATTCTGGAGGTGCAAGGTCAAGAGATGAAGTCAGGTGGCCTTCTTGCTGGCAGAATTCTAAAGTTGTACAGAGCATCACATAGCAAGAGAGAGAGAGAGAACATGTGAATGTGTGTCTCTGTGTTTTCTCTTTCTCTTCTTACAGTGCCACCAAGATTCAACCATGGGGGCTCCAACTTAATGACTGCATCTAATCTTAGTTACTTCCCAAAGAACCTACCATTAAATACCATAGTTGGATTAAATATCTACCTGCATAATACCTCACAATGGGGATCCATGATACCTCACAGTGTGGAACACATGAATCCTTATGGTTGTGGTGGCAAACCTACAGCACATGTGCTGCAGTGGGCTGTTTGTATCATTGAAAGCTCTAAAAGCTTCACCATCACTGCCTTAAGGGACACACCCAACATATATCCTTAGCAGTGGTTAAAACCAGATTGGTATCTTCAGAAATCACTTAATTAATATTGTTTTTGGTCTACTTCCTTACCAGAAAGCTTTAGTGTGCCTAAAAAACCCTATCCAACTATATTATAGAAGGCATAAGGGAAAGGTGAGGAAAAGAAACCATGGAAGATACCTGTATCAATAATAAGAAGATGCAGAGAGTACCTCAAAGGCAGCCTGAAAACTGTAAGATTGTGGCATAGTGGAGAAGAATGATGAAGGTTTTGATTGGATCATAGAATGAGTTCACATGGTTTGGAGTGATGTAGTGGATTTTAGGATGGTTTGGGAATACATGTCCCATATACCATCTCTAGGTTATCTATCCTGGGTCTAGATGTCACTGGTGTCACTTAATTTATCTAGAATACATATATGAGTCTTTCTTGGCACTTTTCTCAGTGATACGGCAAGTGAGTTCATCGGGAATGGCATTCACAAGAGACCAAAAGAGCAGGAATGAGCAAAACTTTGTTAAGCCAGCTGACGGACAGTCTCTAACCAGAAGCCAGAGAAGATTTCCACTCCAATTTGTGTCTCACCTTCAGTTTAAGTACATTTTAGGTTTCCATAGTAACTATTACCTCAGTTTTGGGAATCTTACAAGAATGTCACGCAATTATCGCAAAGTTTACTTTTCCCAGAAGCTGCTGGACAGCTGGATTCCAGATGACCACTGCAGTTTAACTTTTAGCCTACTTCCCAATTTGTCCTATTTGTTCTGTTCCCATTTTATGACTCTTCTCTCAATTAAGTGAGTGGATAACTAACCAAGGGTCTGGGGTAAAGAATGGGGTTAACTACACCTTAAGTGAATTTAAGTGATTTCTCTTAATATGGAGTTAAAAAAAAGAAAATATAGTCTCTTTTGCATTATCGTCAGTACAGAGGCAAAATTTATTTTGACAAAGAGCTATTAAATTGTGCTTATTAATAGTTTGGAATGTTATTGGTCAACATTGTTTCTTTTGTCATTGCTATTTTGTGATATGTATATAATAATACCTACGTTTGGGGAGTTGGGAGGAGTAAATGGAAGTGTCTTGTGCTAAATCTTTCACATCCTTTTAAGATGGGTGCAGATGTAAGGTTGTGTTGTGAAGCCTAGACCTCTGGAGAGAGAAGAGGTAGGTGCAAGTAATGAAAAGCAGAATAAGTGCAACAATTTTCTTACTCTACCTTTACTTCTAAAATAATGTAAATGTTGACAATTGCAGTATTTGTGGCATCTAATATGTTCAGATAATTCCAGAAGAGCAATAATTAATAAATGTATCTTACAGGTCTAGTAGAATTTAAGAAATCTTGGTATGTGTAGAAGAGCAATGTAATGAATATTATTTAATTTTCCTGAATGTAACACAAAGCAGATGAGGAATTCTGGCCGTATCATTTTCTGCTGCTGCCTGAGAAGGCCAGAGAAAAATGATTGTTTTCCAGACATGGAGCCAGTTTTGTGATCTCTTTGTTGATGAAATATAGGATTTGTATGCTCTTCTCACATTTACACAGTCTAGATTTGAAGAGGAGAATATGATTATAGAGGGTTGAAATTGTGAGAAACCTCAGTAATCGGTTGACAGCCTCAAAACTCTGTAAAATCTATGTTATTATTTTTATTATTTTCAATGATGTGTCCTGAGTAAAGATCCTAAATTATGTAAAAAAAGTTTTAAAAGTGCAACATGTACCAAATGGTCATAAAATTCTTGGCATGTAATTTATTCCAGCTAAATGCCTGCACATTTTTCATTGTGTTTGCACTTGCTGTGCTGGCTTTTCATTGAAAGGAACATGGGCTGTTGCTAGCTTTGTCTCTATTTATTTTAGCATAAGCTCAAATGCTGAGGATTCATAAGGACACATGTCATATAAATGGAAAGATAAAAAAGCTCTCTGGAATCTGTCTTTTTTCATCCCATCCCACCTCTTCCTTGCATCAGTTCAGAAAAGCAAACATTCTTATGCATAGCCCATGACCCTGAGCCACTTCAGATTGTAGTCCCCAGTTGTAATAGTCACTGCTAATACATTTGTTAGCTACTCTTTAGTCTTCCAACATTTGCTATAAACTTTCTCATTCAATTAAAAAACAGCTGCATTTGTGTCTTTTCAAACTTCAATGCACATAGGAATTGTATAAAAAATGCCATTCTGATTCTGTAGATCTGGGCTGGGCCTGGCCACGTGCATTTCCTTTCAGCGCCTAGGTGTTGATGTTGCTAATCTTAGAACCATTCTTGAAATATCAAGGGTTATAAGTGTCTAGACCTCTTGATGAAGGTCAATTTTTTTCTAATTTTTATTTTTTATTAGTATATGCTTGCAGTACATAGTGATTACATTACTCATGAGGAGTTGGTACATGTACATAACAAATCTCAACTCTTTTTTTCAATCCATTCCTGCCCCATCCCTTCCCCAACCCTCCCCCTTTCCCATCTCTTGATCCCCTTCCCTTTTGGAAAATGCCTATCTCCCTATTTTCTATTAAGTTGTATTTTGCTCTTTATTTATATTTTGGATTTCTCATGTAAGAGAAACAATAAAATATTTAAGCTTGTGTATCTGATTTATTTCACTTTACATTATGGTCTCAAGGTGCATCCATTTTCCTACAAATGACTGAAGTTTAACCCTTCTTTATTGTAGAGTAGTACTCTATGGAGTATAAAGACCACATTTTCTTTATCTGTTCATTTGTTGATGGACATATAGGCCACTTCCAAGATTCAGCTACTATGAATTGTGCTGCTATAAACATGGACATGCATTATCAGTATAATATGATGTCTTTCACTTTTTTGGGAAGATACTTAGAGAATAGTTGGGTCAAATAGAATTTCTATTTTTAATTTTTGGAAGAATCTCTATACTGAAGGTCATATTTTAAAAATTACAATGAAGACATTTTCTCAAAAGTATAGCTAAATGTGATTTAATTTTATATGACTGTCAACTTTTACATACTAAAATTCAAAATCATTAATCAAAAATAGAAGCAATTTTCTGGCTATGACATCCTTATTTGTTCCATTTATTACTTCTTCAGGGAAGGTCCATTGGTAAATACTCTTGAGTAAGCAAAATCTGTCCCTCTACTGGCCAGGATCCTAACCAAGGCTGCCATTTAGTTAACATGTAAAATGTTCAGGTGATACCTGTGTTGTCTTGGATAGGGCCCTAGAGAGGTAGGCAGACTATCTGGTTTATAGTTCCAGCCTGTTGGATATCTCTAGGCCTTTGAACTCCACATCTATAAAATGGGTCTAATTCTTTATTTGTAGAATGATTGTAGATGTTTGTTTTATGAAAGGTGAGAAAATATGTAATCCGTTCCACAACACGAAGGCTAACAAATACATAAGAAGACACTTTTAAGAGTGTAATTAAGTGGTTTGAGGTCTTCTGGGTTTTGGATGAAACAGGTTAGAGAGGAGATGTATTGAAGAAAAAAACAAGTTTCCTAATTTTTCAAGGACTTCAGGAAACTATCCCCTCTCCTCCTTCTTTAACTTGTAAGTTTTACTTGTTCAAGCTTTTTTACTGGAGTGTGGACCTTTGCTTTTCTCTCATTTACTCTAACAGATGAGAAAATTGGTCAAAATATAATGGTGTTGACTGTTTCTCCTATTTTTCCTTTTTGCAGATTACTCTTCTGCTGTTCAGAAGTTTTCCCAGACGTTACAGTCATTTCAGTTTAATTTCATCGGAGACACTCTGACTGATGATGAGATTAACATTGGTAAGTCTCAACTCCATGTGACCTTATTCCTCTCCATGAAGTACTGAGGCTGTTGAGGCCCCTTACTTGGTGGATGCAGAGCACCGGACGTCTTCATCCCCTGAGGAATAGAGCCAAACCCTTTAGGAAAGATAAGAAAACTTTCCTTGCCAGTGCCATTTCTGCCTCACACAAAGGCAATCAAGATGTCTTATAAACCCTCACTGAGGGCTTTTGACTCAGTCTGCAGGGAAAACATTTCTTTAAACCATCTAATACATGGACACACATATTTTTGTAAAGGACAAAGAGTAATTTGTTTATTTTCCAAAATGATTCAGCATAAGATTCCCCTGGAAAGTTTAAAATTAACATTTATCTCAGTATAACTCTTTAGCCAACAGGAGTTTTGGAATCTCTCTTGGGACCTGAATTTAACAAAATGCTTTATTAGCTGCATGATATTTGGTCAGTATATTTATCCTCTTTGAGTCTCTTTCTTGTCTTCTGTAAAATGGGGCTAATATCTTTATCTTCCTCTTTTCAGGATATTACAAACAGCAGATTAAATAGTAGAACAGCAGATTAAACAGCAGATTAAATAGTAGAAGAAAAAGGAACTTTGTGTTTGTTTTAGTTGTTAGTAACTTAAGCAAAAGTCAGCAAACTATAGCCATTTAGCCAAATGTAGCTCACCACCTGTTTTGTACGTAAAGTTTTATTGCAACACTTATTCCTGTAACTATCATCTATGGATATTTCCCACAGTACAGCAGCAGCATTATCTAGTAATGCTAGATACTAGATAGTGACTAGTTGGTCCTCAAAGCCTAAAATATTTTATCCCTGACTTATTAAGAAAAAGTTGCTGACCCTTGAGTAAGAGTTAGTTTAAAGCTTTCTGCCAGAGGAGAACACTGAATCACAGAACTATTATGAATGACCTAACATTACTGGAAAAAGTTGGTGATATAGTCATAGTTATATGACTGTATAAACTAAATAGAAAATGTATTATTAATAAATGCTCACTGTAGTAGATTTGAATAATATATAAAAGTATAAAAGTACTTACGGTAAGAGGATATTCTAGCAGAAGCAGCGTTTTGGATGTACTGGTATATTCTTTTAAGTCTTTTTCTAAACAAGTATCTGTTTCCTTTGTATGAAATTTAGTTTATACTAAATACCTAATGTTATCTTTTTAACCTAACATTTTATCATAAACATTTTCTCATATTATTTAAAAATGTTTTGAAGTTCCAAGGTGGGCAAGAAGAACATTGTTTTGTTCACTTCTGTGTCCCTAGCACATAGGGTACCTGGCATTTAACACATGCTCTGGACATGTTTGCTAAATGAATGAATAATGAATACATTTGCATTTCATTATTATAATAGCTATACTTTATTTAATATTTATTTCTGGAAATTTACCTTCCAATTGTTTACTATTATAAATAGTATTACAATGAATATTTTTTATAAAGAGTATAGTTGTGAGGTAGATATTTGCATTCAGATTATATCCTTATTGAGTTCACTTTATTCTACTTCTGGAAATCTATGGTGTTCCAAGGGTATGACTTACTTAAATGTTAGTGGTAAAACGTTACTAGTGCATGTCGTTAGGATACCATTTTGGGTTGTGGTTTTAGATTTCACATTACATGTTCACAGGGCCTTTCCATAATGGAATTTTCAGTGTGGCTCCAAGAGATACCTCAGTAGCACAAAGCCCATTGTAGGTACCAATGATCTCTGAGATAGAAGTCATTCTAGGGGATTTAGGGGAAAGCATGAGGATTTTGTACTTCCCTTGATGATTAGCTTAGGACTCACCTGGAATTATCTATATATAACAGATGGGGGGCAGGAAGTGCTTCACTGTCCAGATCGTGACATTTGTCACAGCTCTGAGAGAGCACAATATCCATGCTGTCAGTTGGTATTGCTTGGCCTTTTCTCTTCTTCTGTGGCTCTCTAGTCAATGGTAATCCCTGAAGTTTATATAGTATTGTATCTGCTTTAGATTTGAGTTTTGTTTTTTAGCAGTAGGCTATTCCAATGTTCCTTGAACTTGTTGAGTGTCTGTTTCCCTCTTCTGTAAACTGGGAAATATAATCTACTTCACAAGGTTATATGTAAAGGTAAATCATTTAGCTCAGTGTCCGCCTTATAGTTGGTGCTCAATAACTCAGTCGTGATTGATCCTATCAAGAAGTTGGTAGACACCACTTTGTGGGAAAAGGCATTAGTTTGAAATTATACTTCCCAAATCAACTACAAAATAAAAATATAGAATCATAAAATGATAGTACTGACAGAGTACTTAGAGAATATGTAGTTCAGTTATTTCTAATGTCTTCATATCAGAATTACCTGGAGATCTTACTGACTCTAGGAGCTACAAAGTAGATTGTTTCTGACATAGGCCTAAGAGAATGATTCCTCTTTTTTTTGTGAGGAACCCTGGTTGATATTTGCTCATTAGTAAATAGAGAGTATTCACTAAGAGACATAGAATAGGAATTCAGAGACATAAAACATATCTCCTGTCCTCTCTCTCTTAAAGGAGGCAGATGAGTAAACAGTCACTTACTGCAATGTGATAAATACTGTGGTAGAGATAAGCATATGGTAGCCACTAATCCAGATTGGGGTGTATGTGTTGGGGAGAATAAATAGGGAAAGCTTCTCAGAGAATTGATAATCTACTTCGGTTCTAGGGCTTGGTTGGAGAGTGCAAATTAGGTGAGCAGGCCTCAGACTGAAGGAGGCACTTATTCTTAGGTTTGTGCGTACTGGAGAGAAAATATGCCTTCTTAAATTTTGCAGTTTGGGTGCCCCACTTGCCTCACTCCTGTCCTGATCCTGTCTGTGTTGAATTTCTTTTATGGTTCATACCTAAAATTGCCCCCAGAAACTTGTGTTTGGAGGAGGCCTAGGTAGAGGTGTGGGTCAGGCAGCTTTTGAAAAGGCTAGCATTAAAAAGAAGCCAAATACTTTGCATCAAAGCAATAGGAAAGATGGCCTGTAGGCATCTCCAGAATCAGCAAGACCCCACCCATCACAGCCTCAACAGTGCAGAAGTATGAACTTTTCATTTGAGAAGAGGTCCCCTAGGCCTCTTGCTATACAGAAGGACTGTCTAGGGAATTGGTTTCCCAAGATTCGCCAGATGTTGAAAGACATGAAATACCTAATGGAAGAGTTTGGGTTGTATTCTGAAGCTTATGGGTAGCAGTATAGAGAAGAGAAGAGAACAGAAGGCACTATCCTGGCAGATTCCCTTACCATTAAAAACCATGGAGGATTACTTAGTAGGTTTCATTGGAGAACCTTACATTTTACCTCTGCATTTCAGTCTTGTTATTATCAGAGCAGGGTGTCCACCAGGTGAACCTCAATAACAGTTGTCTTCTGTGCACCTGTTTGCTATAACCTCTCCAGAAGTTGACATCATTGGGTTTTAGGAGGTTGCTTGTTTAAAAACAGTATTTCTAATCTTAAACTGTAAATCATGTTCCTGCTGTAGTCATCTTAACATATTTGAAGAAGGACCTTTGTGACCACACTGATTAAGGTCAAATTTGGAGACAGATAGTCCCACCGGCCACTCATTACTGCTGTGTGTGAGTTGGGGACTCAGGCAAAATTTGACATTGTCTATTCATCTAGCTCCACATGAATATTTCATTGCTTCACAACCCACAGCCAATCACAAACATCTTGATTAGGATGGAGCAGGGTCTAAGAAAAAGCCTCTCAAGGACTTCCATTAGTGTCCGTCTTGTAGAAGCAGTTGAAACGTCTGTTGAGGGATGATGGCTAAGTTTAGTTGCTTTAGGGTTTTGGCATCTTAAAAGAGGGATAGTTAAAATGAGAAAGATAAATGTTAATATAAAAAGTTGTATTGAAGTGAAAAGCCAGGGGTGAAATCCTGAAAGTCCAGTGATTTTCATGAGGTCATTGGATAAAATCTTTTATTTGTGCAGCACCACTCATGGAGTTTCTTGAACCACTTGAGCAGGGATGTCAGGGCTCTTGACGGCATTGTCTGTACTCCTGGCTATTTGTCATATGCATCTATTCATGAACTAAGCATTCTGCCAGACTTTCTTAGTCTGGGCAGTGGCTTTTCTATAGAGAATTCTAGCACAATGTGTGGTCTGCTGAGGTGGTAGAACGTTGGAGATTGATATCAAGTTGTTGAGCTTCACATCTCAGGGATTCTTCTGATCTTAAGGAAGAGAGCCCAGTCAGGTACTCTGCAGACCCTAAAGAGATCTAGGCAGTCAAATTTTAATTCTATATGACTCCAAGTCAGGTGGGAAGGTGACTATTAGAAATAATAATTTGGAGGATTCCAATCAGAAACTGAAGGAAATGGAAAGAATTGAAAAGTTAGTAAGTACATAAGTTTGGGCAAGGTAAAAGGATCTAGTCTAATTTTTTTTTTTGGTTTTTCTGCGGTACCGGGAATTGAACTTACGACCTTGTGCTTGCCAGGCAGGCGCTGTGCCGCTGAGCTAAATCCCCAGCCCCGATCTAGTCTAATTTATAGGGAGGTATTCAAGCTGCTTTTTTGACAGGGAAGGAGAGGAGGTCAGATTTCAACCAAATAAAATAGTTTGCATGTTCACCAGTTATCCTCAATTAACCATAGGTAGAAACAGTTCAAAGACAAGTAGAGAGGAGAATTCTCCAAAAGGGTATGGTATAGACTACTATTTTCCAGAAAAACACAATATAATTACTTCAACTCAGGTGTAAAACCAAAAGCACCAAAAGTCACACTGGTAATTAAAGAAGTGATTGCATTCAGGAGAACTTTCATTAATGAGGAACATTTCAAAGACAAGGAAGGAAACTTGTAGTGTTACACAGTTGGTAAAAAAGGAAGTCTTATGGGAGTCATGAGGAAAGATGGAGATTGATCATATATATGCGGGAAGGGTGGTCCTTTGTTACAGTTTAACAATTCTTTTCTGATCACAGAATGTCGAGGGATTTCTTAA